TTTTTTCCTATTTTTCTAGGAAATTGCGAAATTTTTTTAAGAAATCGACAGAAGAAGTTGTCCTAGAAATTTCGCAATTTCAGAGACAATTATACACACATGTCATTTTGATTCACACAAAAACGCAGCAAAATGATGAATATACATGTAATTATTAAATATCCATTTCATCACTTCTGTATTCCAATTTTCTAAGGCTTTCTTAGTGACATCTGTCGCACCTGCCCTGCTTTCCCATTTTTCCATCTTTCTTATCAATTAAATAAATGTTTCGCTGATAAAAAGTACTATTCAAGGGGGGAGGGGGAACGAGAATTTTGAGGAATGAGGAATGCATGTTATTTTGATAATTCCATAAGCATCTTCGCCCTATACGGAGTGCTCTGGTTGTCTGTATAAACTGGGAAGGGACAAGCCTCTTTTACTTTCATTAAACGCTGCTTTAACTTTAAACCCAGAAAAAAATACACGTCTTTTTTTGTGCTAATAAGACGCGAAAAATTCCTTGTGTTGAAAAAAAGGGAGCGAGGGGGATTGAGCTACGGGAGATGCAAAAACCAGAAGCACAAAATTTTTTCCGTTTCAGATAAACTTTGACCAAAAAGTGCAAAATTCAGCCAAAAGGGCATTGAAATTACTGGAACCAAGTTGCTTTTGAAAGTAAAAATTAATCTGCTACTCGCCTGGTTACGCTGGTACCAAGAAAGTATGGAGAAAATTCTTACAGATTAACCGGTGATGTGCCGTTTTGCCACGGTGAACGGCCATTCTCAGCCATTGCTATGTTTTCTTCTTTAAGTTTCAGAGAACCATTTGTTCGCCTATTATTCATCTGAAACTCCAATTTTTTTATTCAAAAAAAAATCATACAAATTAATATAAAAAAATAATTTACACAGCAGGATGGCCAACAGAGATGCTATACTATGGTCAAAACAACCATCAAACAACGAAAAAAGAAAATGGCACGATTATCCGCTACGCTACTGATGAACTAGTAGCCGTTTCAATTATCAAGCAAGTTTCACTTACATAGCAGGCTAACCATCAGTCAATGCAGCTTTGGTCAATGCAATTGTAAAAGTTGC